AATAAATAAACTGCAAACATATGTACTTTGACCGAAACATGATTGCCAGATCAAAATGGAATTGATAGAAACTGCAAAACACAGCTTTTACAGCATACCTCTAACACAGATGTGATATGGAAGGCCCAGTCTGAGATAATTTCAAACCCTTGAGGAGACCAGAGTTAGTAGCTTCAAGAATAAGTGCATATAGTATTTTAGAAACAATAATGAAAAGATAGGGTGAGAGAGAATCACCCTGTCTGATTCCTCTGGTGGGAGAGACAAACCCATAGATATGACCATTAATTTTAAAGGAGATGGAGGTGATAGAGATGCAGGCCATTAGAAGTTTAACAAAATCAACATGAAATCCCATTTGGAGCATGATCTTTTTAATACTAACCCACTCCAATCTGTCAAAAGCTTTCATAATATTAAGCTTCAGAGCCATAAAAAAGTTCTTTCTAGAAGAATGTCTGTTGAGATAGTGAAAAGCTTCTTGGGCTATAATGACATTATCTAAGAGTTGCCTGCCCTGAATAAATACAGATTGAAACCCACTAATGCAGCCATCTAGACAGACTTTTAGCCTTTGAGTAAGAACTTTAGAGATAACTTTATAAACCACAGTGCAGAGGCTAATAGGTCTAAACTTACAAATAGTATCAGGGGAAGCACACTTAGGAATCAAAGAGAGAATCGTGTGGTTCCAGTACTGAAGCATTTGACTAGATTGAAAGAAACTCAAGACAGCAGAAATGAAGTCAGATTTAATTAAGCTCCAGAAGTGCTGATAGAAAAGAGCATTCATACCATCTTCTCCCGGTGCTTTATCAGGATGTAGGCTGAAAAGAGGTGATTTGATCTCATCCTCTTCCACAGGTAGCAGAAGAGCTTGGTTCATATCATGAGAAATAGCTGGAGTGATAAGTTGCAACAAGGAGTCCCCACCCCAAGATCCTTCTGATGAGAAGAGGGAGTTATAAAATTTTGAAATGTGGTTATGAATGTCCCTCTGATTAGTGAGTTCCTCCCCTCTGGAGTTGATTAGCCTGGTAATGGCATTCATCCTTTTTCTATGCAGAGTGTAGGCATGGAAGAATTTGAGTTTCTGTCACCATGCTTAAGCCAGTTCAATCTAGAAGTTTGTTGCCAGTAAAGAGCTTCTTGGTGATGAGCTTTGTCTAGATCTTTCCTTGTGTTATTCCAGTCTTCCCATTTTGAGGCAGACTTGTCCTCTCTAAGCTCCTCCAGCTTTTTTGGTAAGTACAACTATTTGATGTTGGTTATGAGTATGAAATTGAGAACTCCACTTCAAAAGAGCTACTCTGGTCTGCTTGACTTTTTCCTTGAGCTGAAAAAAAGGGTGTTCCTGACACCGGTGTAAGCCATGCTTGGGTCACCACTTCAGATAATCTAGTTTTACCAATCCACCTTTTGTCAAATTGAAACATTCTGTCGTTCCTCTCTTGTTAGATTCCAGGATCCACTAATATGATTGAGTGGTCAGAGGAGCTTGCTACCAGATTGAGAGTCTTGGCATTAGGAAAAGTTTGCATCCACTCTATAGAGCCAAAAGCTCTATCAAGCTTTTCTTCCACAACATCTTATGAGCCTCTATTGTTGCACCAAGTGTATTGATAGCCCAACATCCTGATTTTTTTCCATCTCCATGGAGTTAATGAAAGCATTAACGAGGTGTATTGATAGCCCAACATCCTGATTTCTTCCACCTCCATGGAGTTAATGAAAGCATTAATGAGCATATATCTTAAAATACAAAAGGTTTTTGGAATTATAGTTGGGGCATTTTTTTCGTATAAATACCACCCTCCCACCAATGATAATAATAATAATAATAATAATAATAACAATAATAATAATAATAATAATAATAATAATAATAAACAAATTTTCACACCTTACACAACCTCTTCCTTGTCTTCTTTACTCTTTTCTAAGCTCTTTTTTTTTTTTTGTCGAAACGATAGAGGTAATATTAAACTCAAACCGCGAACGATGTTCAAATACAACGAAACCAGCCAAGCCGGAATAAAAACATGAGAGGACACGCTTAGAAAGCGGCCTAGATCAAAACCAATCCAAGAAAAATAAAGCTAGCTGTAACGCCCCACTTTTAATTGCCAAAATCCGGGATAAATTTTTAATTTTTTTTCAATTTATTTCAAAAACAATATTTGAAGCGCTACTCATTTTCAAAACAATATTCAATACTCAACATATTCTCAATACTCGGCAATTATCAATACTCATAATCAATAATAAAATTCCAATAATGCAATAATAATCCAATCATGATCTAGGGAAATAATTCCTATCAATAATCCAATACTCCAATACTAGAAAACAATAATCAATAATAATGCAATAGTATCCAAGTTTAGTTCAAAGCGGAAGCATTTATTCAAATTAAAGACCACCACTCGCATCCCTTCCGCCGTGCCGCTCTATCTAACCTGCATCCATGAAGAGCAGGTGGGGATAAGCACAATAAGAAAGTCGAGGTGCTCACCGCTATGCAGTAATTAATCTCAATAATCATGAAAACAATCTAAGTATGGTCGCAGCATGTATACGAATCAATAACCGTCCTATAAATAATCAATAATGGTCTCATGTGCACACCTATAACAATAGACTACTGCCGAACTATATACAGAATGCCTTCCTCGAAGGCCTTACAACGAGTGCCCGATCAGCAGGAGCAATAATCCACCTCGAATGCCAAAACTTTCGCCTCGGCCTTACATACGAGGATCACCAGCCAAGGCTCACGCCCTAACTGTCAACAATAATAAAGGAGATTAACCGAAGGTACGTTCTATAGCTACGGGGATAACCGTTCGACGGCCAACATAGCTCACATCGAAGGCTACATGATTCACATGCATACTTTGATCATACAATAGCAAAAACAATTAATTAAGGCATAGCAAATTTTACAATTACAACCCACCTAGAAATTTCGGTAGAATATCACACAAAAACAAGTGAGTAGGTCGAGGGCTCGACTCCTCAAACACCTACAGTTAAGCGAGATAATTTATCAATAATCTATCTCACTTCCCAAATTTATTATAAAACCCACACTTAATAAAATTAAGACTCAAGGGTTTTAATCGAATTTTTCGTGGACTTGGAACTCTCTCATTTTTTAAAAATAAGACTCGGATAACCAAAATTGGAGTTTCGGGACTTAAAATAATTTTTTCCAAAGTTTTTGCATTTTGAAAATATTTTTAAAATAAGTTCGGGACGAAAAACGGACTTCCGAAACATAAAAGGGCAAAAAAAACGCATTGAATTGCCATGGGCACTGATGGGCCGCGTTGTGTGCACTGGGCCGTACTAGAAGCACGAAATTGGGCCGCAGGGAGTAACATGGCCATGAATTTGGGCCTGGTTCAAAACATGAGGCACGAAGGATAACATGTGGGCTGAAGCAGGCTGAAGATGGAGAGAGGTTTCGGGCCGAGCGCGGGCCGAAATGTGGGCCTGAAGCCCGCGCGCCTTAATAGTAACATAGGCTGGGAAAAAAAAATAAAAGAACGCAGGCCTAAAGGTTCGAACACTGAACCTCTTTCATAACATTGAGCAGTGTCACTACTACACCACACGCATGTTTGCAGTTATAATTGAAAACGAAAGGTAAAACCTGGGACCTGAACAGAATTTGGGTAGACTATAGAGGCTGCGAACAGAACACAGACTAAAACAGCATACGCAAAACAGAATTCTGCCACATTGATCAATTTCGAACCCGACTATGACATCACCAACAGCAACCGGGTCAAGATTATAAAACATCTACGAAAATAACACTTTTACAAAGTTTTGAAAATTGTTTAAAGCCGGGTCGAAAGTCGAAACGACAATACGTAGTTCGAAACAAACGAATAACAAAACAACGACGACAAGGCTCGAAACAATAAAAACGAGACACCAAAATCACACGAATTCAACACAACAATAATAAAGAGACTCCAATATATAAACGAGAGTTCCAATTCACGTAAATTTCACGAAAACCACAACGAATAAATGCACCGAAAAAATATATAAATTGATCGTCCAACGATACCCGAATCAACGCACGATAGCCAACGATCAATCACAACTCGCAGCAATAAACTAAAGAGGGCTCAACTGATACCTTTCTTCGGGAATCTACAAGAAATTGGAAAAATGGGTCGGAACGAGACGGGACGAACGGAGCCTCGACGGGACTCGAAATTCTGAACTCAGGGACTGCTCACAGACAGCTACACGCTGGAGTGGACGCTGGTGAGCTGAGTTTCGCCAGAAAAAGGGTCGCAACGGGACGGTGACTGTGTCTTCATGAACAGGACGCCGGTGTACGACGGCTGATCTATGATCTCTTGCAAACAGGGTGATCGTGTGGTGAAATTGAGATCGCCGGGAGCAGATGCTGCAATGGCGCACGGTGGTGATTGCCGGTAACAATGGCGAGAAATCTTTTATGGCGGAATTTGCAGGTACGAACACAAATCTTTATTGCGAGAGAGTTGAGAGATTTGAGAGTACTGATCGAACGGTTTTTTATTTTTTTGAAATGTCAGGATCCTCACCGATTTAAGTAGACGAGATAGATGAGGGTGAGATCGTGCACGGTCAGTTCACGAAAAATCGCAACAAATTTCAAGCCGTTTGGATCTGGTACCTGGTCGTGCTCGGAAGGGATGAGAAAGAGCAAGATATCTGATTTGGGCACAAATTTGGGCCACGAATTGGATAAATAAATGGGCCAAATAACACCTCCATTTTGGGCCAATATTAAAGCAAGAATTTGGGCCATTTAAAATAAATGGGGCTGGAATCAATTCCCTTAAACTCGTCCGAATATCAAATTCAAAGCTCGACACGGTCAGTCAATAATTAAAATAAAATGCGATATTAATATATATAATACACACAATATATATTTATATTATAATAATCCATTAAACAATTAATGACAATTAGACAAATAATAACAATAACAATAATAATAATAATAATAATAATAATAATAATAATAATAATAATAATAATAATAATAATAATAATAATAATAAAAACAACTAATAATAGAGATAATCAATAATTACTCCCAAATAATCCACAATAAAACGGGGTATTACAGTCTATCCACCTTACAAAGAATTCCGTCCTCGAAATTCGAAAAAAAACTAGAAAGCAATAAAATACAAAGGGATGTCAGAACTCAAAGTTCGGATATCGCCTCCGAAGCTCGGCCTCCTTCTCCCAAGTCAGCTCCGACTCGTCATATCGGCTCCAAAGCACCTTCACCAAGCTCACTGNCCGGTTCATCAACTGATGGACCTTCTGGTCCAATATGGCTACCGGTACCTCCTCATAGGTAAGGTCTCGCTCGACCTGCAGTTCGCTGAAGTCCACCACGTGGCCGGGATCATGCACGTATCTCCGCAACATGGAGACGTGAAACACGTCATGCACTCCTGACAAGCTAGGTGGTAGAGCCAGCCGATAAGCCAAGTTCCCGACTCGGGCAAGGATCTCGAATGGCCCACTATAACGCGGTTTAAGCTTCCCCTTCTTACCGAAGCGAATCACACCCTTCATGGGCGAAACCTTCAGGAAGACGTGATCTCCGACGGCATACTCGTGCTCATCCCTCTTCCGGTCGGCATAGACTTTCTGCCTCTCTTGGGCTGACCGGATATGCTTCCGGATAGCCTCAACTGTCTCCGCAGCTCTAAGAATGAACTCCGGACCCATGATCTTCCTCTCCCCGACCTCATCCCAGTACAAGGGTGTTCGGACCTTACGTCCATACAAAGCCTCCAATGGGACCATCTTGATCGTGGAGTGGTAGCTATTGTTGTAAGTCAGCTCGACCAAAGGCACGGCACTCTCCCAGGTTAGGCTACGGTCCAAGACCACATCCCTCAATATGTCCTCCAAGTACTGGATCGTCCGCTCCGACTGGCCATCTGTCTGAGGATGAAAAGCTGTACTGAACTCTAGCCTCGTCAAAATAGCACGGTGCAGGGTCTTCCAGAACTGGCAAGTGAACTTCGCATCTTGATCAGACACGATCTCTACGAGAACTCCATGAAGCTTGACAATCTCATCCACGAACAACTCGGCATACTGACTAGCCTTCATAGTCGTTCGGACTGGCAGAAAGTGGGCAGACTTCGTAAGGCGATCAACAATCACCCAAATAGAGTCATGCCCGGTCCTCGACCTCGGCAATCCCACCAAAAAATCCATGGTGATGGACTCTTACTTCCAGAAGGGAACCTCAAGTGGCTGCAACTTCCCTCTAGGTTTCTGATGCTCAGCCTTCACTTGCTGACACATCAGTCACCCATTCACGAACCTCGCCACTTGCCTCTTCATACCTCGCCACCAGAAAGACTTCCTCAGGTCCTGATACATTTTCGAACTACCAGGATGGACGGTGTACGGGGCACTATTGGCCTCTCTCAAAATCTCCCTTCGCAATTTCCACACCTTCAGAACACAAAGTCTACCCTCGAAGACCAAGGCCCCATCAGATGCGACTGCGAATCCTCCAACTCTACCGGCTTCCGACAACTCCTTCATCCGGCAAAGGAAACGATCATTCAGTTGCTCGGCGACTATCCTCTCACGAAGAGTTGGTCCCACAACCAAAGAGGTCAACATACCCCTGGCTGTCGGAGGCGGCTCCACTGCCTCCACTGCCTCTAAGGGCAACGGCTACCACGTTAGCTTTCCCAAGATGGTAGCTAATCGTGCAATCGTAGTCCTTGACCAGTTCCAACCATCTACGCTGCCGCATATTCAGCTCCTTCTGAGTGAAAATATACTTTAGGCTCTTGTGGTCGGTAAAAATCTCACACTTGCCTCCATATAGGTAGTGCCGCCAAATCTTCAAGGCATGAACGACTGCAGCTAACTCAAGATCGTGAGTGGGGTAGTTCTGCTCGTGAGGCTTCAGCTGCCTCGAAGCATAGGCTACGACCCTCCCCTGCTGCATAAGGACACATCCCAAAACCCATCTTCGAAGCATCACTATAGACGGTGAACTCCAAAGTAGGGTCGGGAATGGATAGAACGGGCGCGGTAGTGAGTCTCCTCTTCAACTCCTGGAAACTCTCCTCACACCTAGGACTCCAATTGAACCTCACGACCTTCTTCGTAAGGTTGTTTAGTGGCTGGGCTATCTTCGTGAAGCCCTCTATAAACCTCCGGTAGTATCCTGCTAACCCCAGGAAACTACGAACATCAGCAGCACTTCTTGGCATATCCCACTTGCTCAATGCCTCAATCTTACTGGGATCCACCTCAATGCCTCTAGCTGTCACAATGTGGCCAAGGAATGCCACACGATCCAGCCAAAACTCGCACTTCGAGAACTTAGCATACAGCTTCTCGCGGCGAAGAGTCTCCAGCACAATCCTCAGATGCTCCTGGTGCTGGTCGATGCTCCGAGAATAAACCAGAATGTCGTCGATAAACACGATAACAAGCTGGTCCAGGAAGGGATGAAAGACCCTATTCATAAGGTCCATAAGCACAACCAGGGCATTGCTAAGTTCGAATGGCATCACCACGAGCTCATAATGGCCATAACGGGTATGGAAGGCAGTCTTAGAAATATCCGACTCCCGGATCTTCAGCTGATGATAGCCAGAATGCAAGTCAATCTTCGAAAATACACTGGCTCCTCTCAATTGGTCAAAGAGATCCTCAATGAGAGGAAGGGGATACTTGTTCTTGATTGTAAGGGAATTCAACTCCCGATAGTCAACACACATGCGCATCGATCCTTCTTTCTTCTTCACGAATAGGACGGGCGCTCCTCACGGCGGAACACTCGGATGAATGAAACCAAGATTGAAAAACTCCTGGATCTGGGCCTTGAGATCTTGAAGCTCCTTCGGCGCCATACGATAAGGGGCCTAAGAAACAGGGTCGACTCCTGGTACTAGATCAATGGTAAACTCCACTTGGCGGTCGGGCGGTCCTCCGAGCAAATCATCAGGAAAGACATCGAGATACTCGCAGACGATAGAGACTTGTTGGGTTCTGTTA